GAGTCCAGGGATGTCAAGGCTGCAGTGAGCTGTGTTCACGCCACTGTACTCAGAGTGTGACAGTGTGAGACCGTGTCTCAAAAAACAAAACAAAAAACAGTGCCGTTGGACTTCAAACTCAGCCTAATCTCATTCACCATAGGCATTCAGTCTGACCATATAGCCCTGATTTCACTTTTCAAGGTATTTTTCTGATTTCCCAAGCCCTATGCTGATTGCAAACAGCAACATTTGAAGTCAGTGCTGTCAATTCACCTTAAAATGAACATCTGATTCTAGAGTTGTATTGTTTTCTTAAATTCCTAACTGAAGCAATTCTTTCCAATGTTTTTTTTTTTTTTTTTTTTTTTGAGGGTCTCACTCTGTCACCCAGGCTGGAGTGCAATGGCGCAATCTTGGCTCACAACTGCCACTTCCCTGGTTCAAGTGACTCTCCTGTTTCAGCTTCCCAACTAGCTGGGATAACTGGCGTGCGCTATTTTGTCCAGCCACTTTTTGTATTTTTAGTATAGATGGGGTTTCACCATGTAGGCCAAGGCTGGTCTCGAGGTATTGACAGATGATCCTCCTGCCTCGGCCTCCCATAGTGCTGGGATTACAGGCGTGAGCCATTCTTCAGGATTAAATGTAAATGTGATAGCTGAAGCTAGAACAGGCATATATTGAGAAAGACAAAATTACAATGTTATGTGGAAAAGTAATGCCATAACCTCCAAATACACTACCAGGCAGGCTGTTCCAGAGGCTTTGAAGAGTCTCACGTTTCCTGAGCTCCATGGGTTAATTTTATTGAATCAAGTTGTAACAACAAGAAACAAGGGGGAAAGGAGCTTTGGCAAGTGAACACGTTTCAGATAGGTTGTAAACGAGTCTCATTGCCTGAATCCTTGGTGATGCATGTCATATGTGTGAGGCTTCTCCCTCCCCCTCGCATATTTTCCTCGCTGACAGGGTGATTTTGAGAAACAGTTCATGATAAGCAAAGGAGTCAGCAGATGTAAATTATGTGGAGCCAACATAGCCTTGCTCCATTAATATACAGCCACCTATATTGCTCTACAGTGACATATTGAGCAGCCATGCCTTTCGTCTGCAGGTTGTCTATAGAGGGCCAATGAAACAGCTAAAATGGGTTAGCAGTGGGCAGTCAATTTATGATCCCATAAATACTGAGTACTTTATGAATACATAGTGCCTCACAAATGTTCGGCAGCTTTGTTTCTTTCATCTTTTCCTGTCTCTGAGTAGCGCAGCACACACAAGCCCTGCTTTCTCTATGTCTAACATGTCTCAAAGGCTACTCAGTTATGATTGAGTATAAATATAGGTGTTGAATTTTGTCTACATCTCGCAAACCTCTTGTGTAGGTAATACTTAACACGTCTTATAAATTTCATCTGTCCCGTTTGTTGCCTAGGTCCTCCATAGCAGAATATATTTGAGAATATTTCAAATAATAAGACACACACACACACGTTTTATGTATATGTGTGTGTGTATGTGTATGTAGAGAGAGAAATTTTCTAAGGATATTAGAACTCCCATGTCTGAGCTGTATTAGCTTTGTGTGACGGAAAAGTAGATTTTCATTAACTAGTAACTATTTTATGTTGTTAGTTCCAGAGGCATCAAATACTAAGTTATACAGGTAAACATTTAAAAATCTTTTATTAAAAAATTATTTGCATAAATAACATACAATATTTGCTGTCTTATCATATTACTTTCTACATTTCAGTGTGGTTATACATTTTAGTAAAGCACTTCTATGAAATCCTTATCAACCAGTGATGAAACATGGCTAGATGGGAATATAAATGAGTAGCCTCTATTTTTAATTGCAGTGCCATCAATACAGACTTGAACTCTGTTCTCTTCATTCCTCTCTCATGGCTTTCTCTCTACTCCTCCTCCCTGGCCCCTAGGGAGGAGGCAAGAATGTCTAGTTTCGAAATCCATGCTGCTGGCTACTCTTCTACTATCTCTCTTGCTCCACCCTCCCTCCAGAACTGCCTTCTGGAACTTGCAAGTTTTTTAGAGTAGGTTAATTCAGTTTTAGGGAATTTAAATTCAGTCCCATTAAAAGCCAGTTAAAAAAAAAAAAAAAAAATGACCTTCATACTTATGCTTCCTTTTTTTTTTTTTTGCTTTTGAGATTAAGTTTCGCTCTTGTTGCCCAAGCTAGAGTGCAATGGCGTGATCTCAGCTCACCACAACTTCCACCTCCTGGATTGTTCAAGCAATTCTTCTGCCTCAGCCTCCCAAGTAGCTGGGATTACGACATATGTCACCACACCCTGCTAATTTTGCATTTTTAGTAGAGGTGGGGTTTCTCCATGTTGGTCAGGCTGGTCTTGAACTCCCAACCTCAGGTGATCTGCCTGCCTTGGCCTTGCAAAGTGCTGGGATTACAGGCGTGAGCCAACGCGTCTGGCCTATGCTTCCTTCTTTAGTTTTTGAGTTTATTGTATAAATATCCACTTTCGATTTCAATCCAGGTAAAGAACAGGGAACATTTCTATCTTTCTCACTGCTCTTTCCTAAATATTTTCCGTAATTTAATAGCTTCTCAGTAAATGAATAAACTCAAAGTATTAGTCCATCCACCAGATACTTTTGAGGAAAAATTTTTAGGTACATCCATCTCAAATCTAGGATCTTAAAAATACTCTTCCTTTACCTCCTGCTACCCCCACAAGGGAAATGCCTATGAGAGTGGAGGAAGGTAGGAGTTTCAGCCTGTGTTACCCCACCATTACAATCGGTAATCTCAGTATTTAAAAAATCCACAGCAGAAATTGTACACATATTTTTAGTGATTCCTGTTAGCCTTTTTAAGTTAAGAGGGCCTGAGCCTGGCTTCTTTGGTGACTGCCAACCATTACCTAAAAGTAAAGACACATTGTTGCCAGGTCCTTTGTTTTTTATACTCTGCTCAACTTTGTTTTACAAATCTAAATTTTTTCAATGACACCTAAAACCCCACATATTACTTGCAGAGTAACTAAAGGTTTATCCCATGGTACTTTTTTCATCCCCATAAAATATGTCTCCTAGCCACCGTCTATTAAGAAATCGCAATTTTTAGGGCTGGTCGTTGACACTGAACTGCTTGAACCGGGGAGGCAAAGGTTGCAGTACGCCAAGATTACACTGCTGTACTCCAGCCTGGACCACAGACAAGATTCCATTTTTAAAAAACCTTGAAATTTTTTTCAGGTAGTTGGTAAACTATATTCCAGTTGACATTAACCTTCCTGAGACGCCTCCAAATACCACATTATGCTAACTAGTATGGGCTCACCATTAAAGGCTCTCATTGTAGTTTCAACTTATTAATATTCAAACTGACCAGTTCCAGCTTGGTAAAAGTACTTCCTGGAATTCACTGCATCTTAAACTACACACTCATTTTTTAGTTCGCAAACAAGAATGTCCACTTTTCCTGTTGTGTCAAATTATCTGCCTCAGTCACACAAGGCAAGACCGAAGTGGGAAAAATTGCCCGAGCTGCGTTAACAGCCTGGGATAATATAGTAAGACACCACCTTTAAAGACAAGCCCTAAAAACTAAGTGTCAGAGGAACAGGATGAATACAGCAGTACCCAGTATTAAAATTCTTAACTGAGATGGCTAACTGGCTCTGAAGTCTTCGGGTTTGAACATGCTTACATTCACTTGGAGCTGGTGTACTTAGTGACAGCCTTGGTGCCCTCGGACACGGCGTGGTTGGCCAGCTCCCCAGGCAGCAGCAGGCGCACGGCCGTCTGGATCTCCCTGGAGATGATGGTCAAGCGGTTGTTAAAATGCGCCAGGCGGGAAGCCTCGCCTGCGATGTGCTCGAAGATGTTTAGGAAGCAGTTCCTTATGCCCGTGACCTTGGGGGAGACGCCGGTGTCAGGGCGCAACTGCTTCAGCACTTTATAAATGTACACAGAGTAGCTCTCCTTGCGGCTGCGCTTGCTCTTCTTGCCGTCCTTCTCCTGCACCTTGGTCCCCGCCTTCTTGGAGCCTTTCTTCAGGGTGGAAGTGGAGTTAGCTGGCTGAGGAATCACAAAAAGCTAAAGGAACAAAGAATACACCCAAGAATGAATCGTTTCAACACCGTAGCTGGCTATTTTTGTAGGCCTTCTATGCAAATAGATGCTTAATCCTTCTTAATCCCTGATTGGACCAAATCAGCCAATAAAAAAGTTAAATTCAACTCTACTTTTTGATTGGATATCTACCCGAAACCTACTCTAAATTCTTTTCTATACCGTTGTGAGAGAAAGCGTAGCTTTCCATTCAAAATGTTAACAAAAAAATGCCTTTCCAGTACCATCTAGCTGTTAAGTCCTGTCTCCTTAGTGCGAACCTAAACAGAAACAAAGACGGATATTATGTTTCTACTTTCCTACCCAATTGCACGTTCCAGATTTAAAATTATCTACGAATAACTAATTCCAAAATGGAAATTAGCTAAAGATTTACATGTTTCCAGAATTGTACTATTGGCATTCTTTTGTAATGTGATCAAGGTCGTCAGCATTCTTAGATAAAAATTTAAGCTTTTTCAGGAGTCAAAGGATGAACACATTTCAAGAGCGACGGGATTTTAATGTCCCCTTGGAATGGAGTGTCTGGAAGTGAAACCAGTGTTTGTTGGAAGGCTCAGAATTATATGAAATAGGGTACATATGTTGAAAATAAAAAATTTCTTCAAAGTAAGAATTTTAAACAAAATATTAAAAGACAAATTGAGCTGGACCAATCACGTTCAAACGCGGAATTTTTGAAATCGCTCCAGAAATGCAGAACGTTCACTTAAGTCTCAAACATAATCCCAAAACATTGATTAAAATAAAATCAATGAAGGTACATAATACAGGTAGGCACATAAAACATAATAAAAGGCAAGGAACGAGAAGAAAGAAACCAAGCACGTTTCCATAGGTTAAGATTTTTTAAAATGAGACCTGGTAGCCAATCACAGGTCCTATCACATTACATGATTCAGGGCGCGAAATTGGAAGAATCGGACCAATCAGAAGGCCTTTGCCTTTATAAATAGGAGTAAGACCAGCTGTTTCTTCAGTCGCGACCATTTTCTGAACCCTCCTCTCATGGCTCGTACCAAGCAAACAGCTCGCAAGTCCACAGGCGGCAAGGCTCCGCGCAAGCAGCTGGCCACCAAGGCGGCCCGCAAGAGCGCTCCGGCCACCGGGGGCGTGAAGAAGCCGCATCGTTACCGGCCCGGCACAGTTGCTCTCCGGGAAATCCGCCGCTACCAGAAGTCCACCGAGCTACTGATTCGCAAGCTGCCGTTCCAACGCCTGGTCCGTGAGATCGCACAGGACTTCAAGACCGACCTGCGCTTCCAGAGCTCCGCGGTGATGGCGCTGCAGGAGGCCTGCGAGGCCTACCTGGTGGGGCTCTTTGAGGACACCAACCTGTGCGCCATCCACGCCAAGCGGGTGACTATCATGCCCAAGGACATCCAGCTCGCTCGCCGCATCCGCGGAGAGAGGGCATAAGTGGTACTAAAGGCGAGTGCCAACGTAAACCAAAGGCTCTTTTCAGAGCCGCCAACAGTTTCATTTGAATGAGCCGTAGCGCTGGGGAGTCAAGTCTACTAAAAGCGAGGATGGACGGGTAGGCGGTGAGTGGAGGGTTAGGGGATGGCGGTTGCGCCTGCGGCGCCTAAACTAGGCTTTTTCAGCGGAGAGTGGCAGTTCAACACAAATCCCTTAGCTGTGGGGGCCCCAGGCGGTAGGATCACTTGAGGTAAGGATTTCGAGACTAGTCTGGCTAATGTGATGAAACTCCCCGTCTTTTTAAACGCTTGGGGGCGCCCTCTTGCAGCCCCTACTATTACTGGGGCTGAGGCAGGAGAATCAGTTGAGCTCAGGTGGGGAATGTTGCCTTAAGCCGACATCGCGCCAGTGTCCTTCAGCCTGGGCGACAGCGAAACCCAGTCACCAAACAAAAAAAAACTTGTGTGCTGACGCAAAACAAAAACTGCAGGTAAAAACTAAACAACGTGAGCACAGAAGTGTAGGAAAGCTTTACAACAGAATGGGGACTTAAATAATTACCCTAATTTTTTTTAGTTTACCCTGAGGATTCCTTTGAGACACCTAAGTAGGAGAAATTGATAAAAGTTAATACAAATCTGACATGTCACGGGAGCCTTACAAAGGAAAGCCGCAAGTTCCAGGTGGATCTGCACACTAAAATACTAAAATGGTACAGCAATAAACGAAACGTTCTAAGATGGCGGAGTTCTTAGGCTAAAGCAGTTAAAGGGATGGAAACGTAACCAAGAACGTATGTATTAGTTTAATAAGTTTTGTACAGATTTTCCTCTGCCTCAACTTCCCTTCCTAGATAAGAATTTTTCTCTGGTATCCGGAGGACATCACCGGGAAGTTCAACTCGCCTTTAGAAACGAGTTCAAAGTATTTTTTTCTTGCCCCTGCTGTTTTTCACAGAATAGTCAATGCCAGCTTAGCGTTATTTTGAGGTGTTTTGTTCTGAACTCAAATAGAAACGCACAGGGAAAACTGGGCTCAGGAAAATCCTATTGCAACTTTTTTTTTTTTTTTTTTGAGACAGTCTCCCTTTGTCGCCAGGCACCAGGCTGAAGTGCAGTGGTGTGATCTGGCTCACTGCAACTTCCGCCTCCCAAGCAATTCAGCCTAAGCCTACCAAGTAGCTGGGACTACAGGCGCGTGCCACCACGCCCAGCTAATTTTTGTATTTTTTAGTAGAGACAGGTTTTCATCATGTTGGCCAGGATGGTCTCAATCTATTGACCTCGTGATCCGCCCGCCTCGGCCTCCCAAAGTGCTGGGATTACAGGCGTGAGCCACCGCCCCGGCCACATTTTCTTTTTGAAACTGAGTTTTGCCCTTGTCGCCCAGCTTGGAGTGCAGTGCCGGGGTCTCAGCTCACTGCAACGTCCGCTTTCCGGGTTCAAATATTGTCCTGCTTCAGCCTCCCAAGTAGCTGGGATTTTAGATGCCCACCACCATGCCCGGCTAATTTTTAGTAGAGATGGGGTGTCGCCATGTTGGCTAGGCTGCTCTTGAACTCCCGATCTCAAGGATTCCCCCTGCCTCGGCCTCCCACAGTGCTGGGATTACAGGCGTGAGCTACCGCGCCTGCTCGTAACTTATTTTTTTTCAGACTGAGTTTCACCTTTGTCACCCAGGCTGGGATGCAGTACCCAGGCTGTCTGCAACTCCCGCCTCCGGGGTTCAAAGGATTCTCCTGCCTCAGCCTCCCGAGTAGCTGGGACGACAGGCGTGCGACCTCTTGCAATAGGCTCTCTTTTTTTGAGACAGAGTCTCGCTCTGTCACCCAGGTTGGAGTGCAGTGGCACTAACTTGACTCACTGCAACCTCTGCCTCCCAGGTTCAAGCAATTCTGCCTCAGCCTCTCAAGTAGCTAGGACTACAGGCACGCAGCACCACACTTGGCTAATTTTTGTATTTTTAGTAGAAGTGGGGTTTCACCGAGTTGGCCAAGCTTGTCTTGAACCCCTGATCTCAAGTGAGGCCTGTGGTCCTCCGCCAGCCCGGGTGAGTCCAGGTGAACCCGGAGCCCAGCGAGGTCTGCCAGAGCTGTAGCCGCACCTGCCTGCACGCGCCTGGGCGTGGCTTCCGGGAGCCGGGCGGCCACCGCGGCGCAGGCGCGCGCCTAACGCTGCGCGGGGCTCGCTGGGTCA